ATACACAGTTGTATGTCTTAGTTGCAGGTCCTTCTAGTTGTGGGTTGTTGTGGGACACCGCCTCAATGTGGCCTGACGAGCGGTGCCATGTCCGCGCCCAGGATCCGAACCCTGGGCCGCCGCAGCGGAGCACGCGAACTTAACCACTCAGCCATGGAGCCAGCCCCCAACCAGTTGATTTTATGTATTATTTTATAATATTGAACTTTATAAGTCAATACTGTTACTATATATACTTTATATTTCTGTAATATCCATGTTGCTTCAAATGTCAGTTACATTGTCTTGGCAACAAATGTGAGACACTTTTCTCTGAACTACTGAACAACACTTTATGATAATTGTATCTATCTAAATATATAATCATAATATCCTCTTTGTCATTTCTTTTGAAATCTGTTAGAGTTGCTATAAGTATATTGAACAAAAGTTTAAGAAACTTTCTATACAGAAAACTAACTTATGACTTAAGAATTAGGGACCAAAAATAAGTAAAAGAAGACTAAAATGAGTTCATATGGATATAGATGTGTTCATAAGATCTTTGTCTTAGGTATACAAACATGTTATTGTATATTAATGGGCTTTCTACCTCCAAATGCTTCTTGTTATTCTCAAATAGCCTGAAAGCTTTTTTGGTAGTTAAATTATTTTCCTGCATTATAATTACCTACATCTTTGGAACAAACCCACGAAGAGTACTTAAAAATTATTATTTGGTATGGTTAACTTTCTAACTTATATTTCTTTCTCCCAGAGTTATTTGTACCAAATCCTACAAGGGATTGTGTTTTGTCACTCTAGAAGAGTTCTACACAGAGACTTAAAACCTCAGAATCTATTGATTGATGACAAAGGAACAATTAAACTGGCTGATTTTGGCCTTGCCAGAGCTTTTGGAATACCTATTAGAGTATATACACATGAGGTATGTAGAATAGTGTTTTTTGGTGCTTTTAAGTATGTGAGATTGCTGGATTGTTTTCTATATTTGTTCCTTAAGTCTAGAAACAAATACTTAATAAAAAAGATCTATACTTTGTGCCTCTCACCTTCAAACTCACCCTTCATTGCATGCTGTGTGAAAATGTAACTGGAATCTTTAAATATTTTTCCTTTGTCAGCTGGTGTGATGTTAAGCTTTGTCAGTAGAGGGTGCTGGGGAGGCATTGCAGGAGGAAGGGATTTTTCTTGGTATAGTATCTAGTTATTTCTTACTAGTCAGTCTCTCATTTTTCCAGTCTCCTGTTACAGTTTAAAATCCTTTATAGTAGACTTTCCCCCTTCACATCACTATATGGTTTCTGTCTCCTGATTGGATTCTCTGATACACAATCAAATTGGCTATAAGACAAGTTCTGTTTCTTAGTGGGGACTGTTTCAGATATATTTAGAAGCTACTAAATATAATCAAGTTTTATCTGTTACATCGATGACTTGGCATTTCATTTCTTATTTCTAGAGGGAAAGAGAATGTTGAATTGTATAGTAAAGGATTATTGGAAAACAGTGTCTTCTGTGGAGTTGTCTACCCTTGAGCCCAAAGACCATCTCCAGATCAAAACTTATAACAGGTCTCATCTGGTTAGATGTCTTGGCTTTTTATCATTTTCCCCATGGCTGTGTAAATAAAGATTATTTGGTTCCTATTGGCTTAAACACTATTGACCTCATTAACAAGTTAGAGGTGATATTTTTGCCATTGTGGTAAATTATATGTATTAAAATAGATTAGTTCTTGACCACTGATAAAGTGTTGATCATTCATGTTTTTAGCATGGAAGCAGTCCGTGTACTTTGTACAGTGTCACCCCAAAATCCATTATGAATGGACTTTTTTTTTCTTTTGGAAAAGTGAAGACTATCTTTACTATTTTGATCCTTGCACTTTAATTATTTGAAAAGCAAGGAAAGGCTTGGTATGCTTTTGCATATCTGGTCCCCCACTCCAATGAATTGAACTTAGAAGTGAAATATTTATCTTCCATATAGTATTTCATGTATAGTTAATTGACTTTTAAACAATATTATCAGAGGCAATCATGCAGCCTTCTAACGGACAGTCCTAGTGAAATATAAATGTTTACTTTTAGGTAATTTAATGCACCGCATTTATTCAGTGTAAAAATTTGCTTTGTAACAGGTAGTAACACTCTGGTATAGATCTCCAGAAGTATTGCTGGGGTCGGCTCGCTACTCGACTCCGGTTGACATTTGGAGTATAGGTACCATATTTGCAGAATTAGCAACTAAGAAACCACTTTTCCATGGAGACTCAGAAATCGATCAACTCTTCAGAATTTTCAGGTATTTTTATTTTATGCTTAAGCTATTAAGAACTTTTAAGCTAAATAATAATAAAGGCAACATGTATTTAACAAGATTGTATTTATGCTTTAATAATTTTTGTTTTGCTGTGACTTTTTAGAGCTTTGGGCACCCCCAATAATGAAGTGTGGCCAGAAGTGGAATCTTTGCAGGACTATAAGAATACGTTTCCCAAGTGGAAACCAGGAAGCCTCGCATCCCATGTCAAAAACTTGGATGAAAATGGTTTGGATCTGCTCTCGGTAAGGAGTGCTGTTTATATTGACTTTAACATTTTGATAATTCTTAATGTACTCAATCCTTTCTTTTACCTGGGAAATAGGAAGAAAACCAGCATACTGAGCTCGGCACATAATTATCATGTCTTCTATGTTTATCGTGTTACTAGCTCTATTTTAGATACCAAGAAACACTAGTGGTTTTGAGTAGAAGAGTTAGCATTAGTTGGTTTTTTGTTTGTTTTTCAATCTGATTGGTAGCTGTAGATACTCTGAAGGAGAGGCCAGGGTTAATACAGCTTTGTTTTTTTTTAAAGATTTGACTTTTCCTTTTTCTCCCCAAAGCCCCCCCACTACATAGTTGTATATAGTTGTGGGTCCTTTTAGTTGTGCTGTGTGGGATGCCACCTCAGCATGGCCTGATGAGCGGTGCCATGTCTGCGCCCAGGATCCCAACTGGTGAAACCCTGGGCCGCCGGAGCAGAGCACGCGAACTTAACCACTGGCCAGAGGGCCGGCCCCCACCTTTATTGTTTTTACTTGGCTGATTTCTAGTAGCCTTCCTTTCCAGTTTTTTTGTCTTGGTATTTACTACTTCTTACTTTATCCTAAACCTAGGTGATTTCCTTATTGCTTGATAGTGTTAGTTAAAATCCTTTCGCTGTGTGAACTCCCATTTCTCACTTCCTGCTTTGCTTCCTCGTCAGAAGTTAGGAGGAGGACTAACATAGGTTTAAAACATTTTCCCTCTGTATTACGGTGCCATCTCCAGCTAACAATTGTTTTCTTTAAAAACAAGCCAAAAATATTTGTCATGATAAAAATTAAATTTCTAGGCCTGCTTCGGGAAACTTGCTTTAAAATAGTATTTAAATATGGAGCTTTCAGAAGGCACTAATTTTTATGAATCTCAGGTAGTGTGATTAAGAAAAAAATAACATTTTTACAGATAACTAAACAAAAAAAATCTGCTATATCATCATATACATCTCTAATTGATCTTTAGGCCTTTTTCGCAATTTATAAAACATGCCACCAAATTCAGTTCAGATTTCCCAGTTGCTTACTGGGGAGTCCAAAGTCCTTTACCGGCCATTAAGATATTTTATACATCAATATTGTTGATTTGGCTTAAAGGAAAGGCCTTCTGTATTCTGAGCCCAGTCTGTCTTTTTAACTTGTAATTCTTGAACACAAAGAATTTCTCTTCAGTTAACAAAACAAAAATCTCTAATACTGTATGTAAATCATGGTGCCTTAGTCCAGCCAGTGTTGGATACTTCCTGGACTAGATCGTTCTTTGTTGCTGGGGGCTGTCCTGTACCTTGTAAGGTATTTAACAGCATCCCACTGCTCTGCCCTACAGATGCCAGGAGCACAACCTTCCCGGTTGTGACAACCCAAAATGTCTCCAGATGTTGCCAAATGTCCCCTGAGGGGCAAAGTCTCACCCAGTTGAGAACAACTGCTATAAATCATAAATCAGACTTGGTTTCAAATTTCAGCTTTGTCACTCCTTAGCTCTGTGAACTCGGGCAAGTTACTTAACCTCTTTGAGGGTCAACATCCTCTTTCGTAAAGTGGGACTAATGCCGACCTTTTGTTGTGAGGACGAAGTAGCATGATAATACGCAAAGCACTGAATATGGTGCTGGATACGTGATAAGTGTTTGGACGGTAACTAGGTAATGAAGTATCTCTAGTCTGCTTATTGATTTGGTTTTAAGATTAATATTAAATATTAATTTTAATTAACATTAAGATCAATGTTAAACTTTATTCAGCTTTTTCTGGTGACGTGTAAGTTAGCTTTAATACTAGATCGTCTGACCATAGTGCATATAGTGACTCATTTTAACTATGTTTATAACACGTTATGCGCCAGTTTTGTTTTTATTTGGAACTTGCTGGAAGCTACGTTAGAAACCACCGTAGTTAATTGCCACCATTTCAAGAATGTAAATAACTCAGATGGCCATTTAAGTCTCGAAGTAAATATAGTTAACCAGATATCTTTCTTAAATTTATGTCTTGGTTTTTAAAGCTATCTCTGAATACTTGTGTCTTAAGCCATAGTTTATAGCAGAAAGAGGTTATCAAGGTATCTGTGATTGAAGGAACAGGTTCTTCTGGAGCTAGAGCGTGAAGTGTGGAAGGTGAGACATTGATGTGGTTTGGTATTGGACTAATGGAAATGTTCATTTAGTAGTTTTTCATTAAAATTATTACCTTATGGGGGCCTGCCCCATGGCCTAGTGTTTAGTTCAGAGTGCCCCACTTTGGCGGTCTGGGTTAGATTCGTGGGTGTGGCCCACACCACTCAGCAGCAGCCATGCTGTGACGGTGACTACATACAAAATACAAGATTGGCACAGATGTTAGCTCAGGGTGGATCTTCCTCAGCAATAAATAAATAAATAAAAATTACCTATGGCGTATTGGTAGAAAAGTTTTAAGGCTTTTTGCGTATTATTTTTAATGGTTCGTTTCTTAAATAAGTAAAAACTTTTCTTTCTATCTTTTTTCCCTCTACAGAAAATGTTAGTCTATGATCCTGCCAAACGAATTTCTGGCAAAATGGCACTGAATCATCCATATTTTAATGATTTGGACAATCAGATTAAGAAGATGTAGGCTTCTAACAGTTTCCACATGTTGTATCAAGAACAGATAGTTATATTTTTACTGTTAACGCTGTTCATTTTTGTCTTGTGTTTTTCTTTTCTTTGTTGTAAAGCTTAAGCTGTACTTCATCTTCTGTTTTCAAAAGTGTAACTTAAAAATGTAAATATTGTTCTATATGAATTTAAATATAATAATTCTGTATATGTTTGTAGATCTCACTGTAACAACTATTTGTTACTATAATAAAACTATAAATCTAGTATTGATGTCAGGAATTGCAAAAAATTTGCGTTAGCTTAAGTTATCTCACACCTTTCTGCAGTCCAGTTTTCCTGTATTGGAACTACTAAAATTTGGGAAATTGTGCTATGTTCATAGTTCATCATACTTTGAAGTATTTTTATGCTCTAAATGTTTCAATTTTCTTGTCAGTTTCTTGCCGTATGGTAACTATACAGCCTGCCTAAATATTATTTTTCTATTGGCATTTCAATTTGTGACCTAAATGTTTAAGCATTCAGAATGAGGAAACTCTCTAAATTTGGGAAATGATACTAAATTTATAGAGGTTTTCAGTAACTTATAAAACTAACATTAGAGTGTGCCAAAGTTTGCTAAGTTTTACAGTCAAAGATCAAGGGCTGTCCACAGCAGGGGAGAACAGTTTAGAAAATTTATGAACTATCCTATTTTTAGGTAGATTACAAAAACTGTTTCTCTAAGTGAATTCTTATGCCTTGGTTAGAGGCAAAGGAGTTGCTTATGTTGGCTTTCAAGCCTGACTTAAATAATCTACTTGCAAATTTTGACATAGTGTTTATTAGCAGCCTTCTTAGACGATTTTAATGTCTAAGTATTTAGCTAAAATCACTAGCTTCGGGAATTGTTTAATTAATGCTGCTCATTTATGATTCTTACTTATAAGCAATCTAATTTAAATTATTCGTTATGGTCAAGAGAAATGTCTATAAAATAGTTTTATCATTTTTAATGTACCTTTATCCGTTGTTTGACCCTCTATTTTTCCTCCTGATTACCTATGACTAGAATGGGCATTCCTGTGTTATTGATCCCTATACCCAATTGATTGGATATATAATGGGTGATCTACCTAATCTATGTTGTCTTGGAATTTTTGCAGTCTATAGGAGAAAGTATAGGTCACTGTCTGTGGCAATAGGACTTGTAAGATGAGAGATTTGGTGGCCTTTTTCTAGGTCCTTTGTTCGACGCCTGCCTTCAGCAAGATAATGGAGAGCTTGGAGATGGAAGTCATGTGGGGTCATATTGTGGAAAGTTATTAAGGTTTCATTGTGGGAATTTGGTAAATGAAAGGTCACACGAAAGATTTAATTGAGATGGTGAAATGGCACATCTACAGACTTGTGTTTTATTACCTCTGAAGGGTTGAATTAGATCCCTTTTCAAATTGTGGGTTGCAGCCCTTTAGTGGTTCAGGATCAGCATTAGTCACCAACCCCCTCACCCCCTTCCCCATGTAGAATGGAAACTCAGTGTATCTTGTATAATTACTTCTTGATACTTTTGTTTCGATAATATATAGATACTTGGGTGTTACAAATGTTTGGGGCATTGTGGACTTGGTAGAAGCAGTATACCGCTTCACTGCTATGGCTCCATGGAGACTAATTGTTTGGAAAATCAATAATTCATCAATTTAGAACCTACTTGGTAGACTAGGGAAACGAGCTGGTAGAACAGTCATCAGTCGCTATAATGAGTGACCTCTACTTTTCGTCCCGCTCCACGTGTTTGTGTGGTCCTATGTAAAGTGTTTATGTCAGCTTCAGTGACTGGGTGAAAGCTACCGAACTGAGTCCTCGTCTCAGGCACATTTTTAAATTGGCTTGTGCTATGTGCTTCTGGTTGACTTTAAAATGGAGCTTGTCTCTGGGCCAGCAGTTCTTAAATCTGCTGTGTGCTTGAAATACCTCAGACTAACTCTGGTCTTACCCTGAAAATTCTGAAATTGAAAATTGGGAAATGTATCCCAGGAAATGACTTTTTCACAAGTTTCCCAGGCTGATTCTGATGCAACCACTTATCACCTGTTGGTGATGTGTTTCACAACTTTTGGACCTATATTTAGTTTTAGTTGTCTTAAAACTTGATGGCATCATGCAATACCTTTAACTTGTTCCATTTCTGTTCCAATCTGCACTGTAGTGAGGGGAGAGGGCTGTGTATTTCATCACCAATATAAGGCATTCATATTCTTGAGCATAGGACTGTGACAATTGCTTTTTCTTAACACTGCCCCTAGTCTTTAGAGGAGGGTTTCTTTATTTTTTCAAGTTTAAATACGTAAGAAGTAGTGATGCAGAGAAGTTAATATGTAATGTACAATACAATCTTACTAATTTGTATGTAGATATGGCATATATGAATTAAATGTTTTAAAAAATGATAGTATTTTAGAGTTGAGTTAATAAAATAGCCCAATAAAAGGTCGTTTGGGGACTTGGATTCACAGACTAATGTAATTTTTAATTAGTAAAATAGTTTTTGAAGTGTAGAAACGTTGAAAGCTGTATTGGATGGAACAAACTTTTTTCCATTAGTGCCTTGAGCAAACTGTAGTTCATAATAAGTTCACTTAAGTCCCATCCCTGTTTAAATAGTTGTCATATTCAAATGGAAGTCAGGTTCCTCGGGACCATAGGATCACTTTGCGTTGTGGACAGAGCAGAGATAATTAGTGATGTTGTGGACTGTGGAGTGAAGAGTAGTGGCCATTGTTTAGGTGGGGGACAAGATGGATAGAGTATTGAGTGACTAAAGGGAAAGTGAAGGATGGAGAGAGAGGACGTGAAAGACCCTGGAGAGTGGGAGGTATTTCTGACTTCAAAGTGGCAGCTAGGAGAAGGCAAAGGTGGGGTAGCGATGGTATTGACAGATTGTTACTTTAGTCAGTTTGGAGGAAGGAGTGAAGTTTAATGAAGTATTTGGAAGTAAGTGTAGACATTTTCAGTGCCATGCCATAGTATAAATAATCAAGTTTCTGAGACACCTTAAAAGCTTCAAAAGACCTGCACTGAGAGTCACAGACTTGGTTGTTGAGGAAGAAAACAGGTATCACAACAGCAGTAGGTTCTGTGTGGCCATGAATGTGCTTTCTTTACAAGTTCCCAGGTGATGATGCTGGTGGTCCAGGGACCACCCTCTGAGAATCACTACACTAGTAGTCGTCGGAATTCTAGAGAACTGAACAGAAGCTCGGTTATTTTGTCTACTTGCTGGGTTTGCAGAGGAAGCACAGAGGTGCAGAAGGAGAAGCTGACCTAAAGTCAGGTGTACAGTTAGAGGTTGAACTGGAATTCCAGCCTAAGTCTGCCATTGTCATTGCTGGGAAGAGTGCATGGTACAATGTGACGATATTCTAGGCTTTAGAGGCAGAGAGAATAGGGTTTGAGAGATTAGAGTTCTGCCATTTTTGTCTATAGCCTTGAACAAGACGCTTAGCATCTCTGTTTCCTCAGTTGTATGATGGAGATAATAAATAGGATTTATTATTTATGTAAATGATATATAAATAGCATTGTAGGATTGTTGTGAGGGATGGAGATAGGGTTGCCAGGCGTCCTGCATATATATAGGACATGTCCTATCTGCCAGGATACCCTAAATGTCCTTTTTTCAATACATTACAAAACTTGGGCAGTTAGAACTATTTTCCTGCCACAGTAATTAGTGTTTAAATCCAGTAAATGGCAGCACTAGATGGAGGGTGTAGGCCAAGTTCCTGACACATGGTAATTTTGTTCTTTGAACTCTCAGCACTTTTTCCTGATCTTATCTCTTATCGCACTTTCATTTTCTCCCTTATTAAATTGTAAGTCCAATGGGGGCAGGGGCCATGTCTTGTTCTTCTATCCTCACAGCCCTTGGTCTGGTACCTTGAGCATAAGACACTATTCCAGTCCTTTAAGGTTGCCCAAAGGTAATTCAGTAATACATGACTCTACTGTGAGCAGCCACTATGCTTTACATACATTTCCTCTGTTTTAAGTAACCATGTAAGGGAAGGGGCATCTTCGTCTTACAGATGATGAAACTAAAATTCAGAGAGTTTAAGTAACTTGCCGAAGGTCGCAAGCATAATTGCCAGAGCAAGGACCTGAGCTTTTTGACTTCAAACTGTTCTCTTTCCATGGCATTGTGTTGGTTCTCAAGAGAAATTTATAAAGAGAACATAGATTTAGTTTCAAAAGCTTAAGAGGAAAGAACTGAAGCAGACAGGCAGACGCTGAAGCCGACACAGCCCAATGCCAAGGAGCACCAAGCTTCAGGCTTGTCAAAACCAACACCACAGACCTGCAGGCCCCTCAGCACTGAAGCTCCTGACACATTGGCGGAAACCTCTACCTCGAGGTGGAAAGGACCAAGGTCATCAAAGTAACATACGGTTTTCAGTCCAGTCCATTTTCCTATCCCATTTTAGCTAGCAATAGCCCCTTTTGTTTGGGGAACTCCACTACTGCATGTGGTCCTATTGGGGTTCTTAATTCTGGCTCTCCACTCCTTGTTCATAAGGATGACCCAGATTAGTTGAGTCACAATATACCACAACCCAGCAGCATAAGAGGTCCAAGGGGTATGCAGATGACCTAAAGAAGACCCATTAGGATCATTTTTGCTACGGAAACCTTGAGAGAATGAAGTCTTCTTTCTGCTAATATTGCTAAACTGTGATGACATGACTGGAAGCCTGAGGCATCTTCCCCATCTTAGCTGAGTTAAGAAAGTGATGACTAAAGATCCCTGGGTACTTGATGTCCCTTGTTCCGGTTTTCCGGTCCTGAGGCCCTGGTTCCTGCAGTGCTGCCTTAAAATTGGTGAGCTTCCCCAGTACCCTTTGTAAGTGTAGGAGCTGTGTTGTTTTGCTTAATCTAGTTTGGGTTGAAGTTCTGTTGTTTAAAGCTCAGAGTCCTGACTAATAGAGCTGTCAATACCAAGATAACAATTGGATAAATAATTTTAAAGGAACTCAATTTAAGCACCCTTGCAGTTATAAATTCTTGTATAATTAAGCATCTTCCCTCTTTAAAAGCTCTTTATTGCTCATAATCATTGTTTTCACTGCAGTTTCTAGTGTTGGTTGTGTAAAATGGTAGTGATATAAATGTATGCCTGTTGACTGATTTTCAAAGAACCTACAGAATTGTGAGGAATGTTTATATGTGGGTACCTACTCTTTACCAGTCAGGAGTAGAAATCTGTAAAATATACTTTTCTACAGGCAGTCATTCCTTCCTGTCAGACAGAACTTCAAAACCATGCTATACTGCTCCGTTAAGGAAATAATGCAATAACAAAAGCAGAATGTATTTGGAGAATTTATTTCCTAACGAGTATTAGTAGTTCTTTACACTTGTAAAGAGCTTTATAGTAATTAAGTGGCACATGCTATTTGAATAGATAGAAGCTTCCTATACTATAAAAATGCCCTGAACTATGAAACCAAAAGAATAATTATACCATAACACATTCTTTATAATACAGAGAGGAAAGATGCATTTCCCAACTGAACAAAGCCATTTGTCTCAGTGGTTCCGATATCACGACACACATATTTATGTGCAAGAAAATAGAAATGTCTTCTTCATGAAGTGTGTTACTGCTTCAAGGATCCAAATGGGAAGCAGAGCATTTGCTCCATCTTAAATCTTCCTGCTAGGATTTGACCATAGTTTTAGAAATGCTCTTTGGCTTCTTGTTTGAAATATTTCTCAGGCACAATCACTAATGGAAGATGGCTCAGAACGTAAGATTGCAGTTTTCCTGGTAAGCACAAAAAATATTTGGTTAATATGAGTCTGAAGCCCCATGAACTGGATGAACAATGGAATGTTATTTATACATCGGGATCTCTTAATTACCCTCACTACCAGGTCATAGCAGCTGGAATAACCCTAAAGAGCAAGCATCGCACCCCCACCCTGGATTTCAGCGTTCGCTCTGTGACTTACCCACCTTTGGCAATAAATCTCATTTCCTAGTTAGTGAAATTATAAAGTTTTAGAATTGAATGGGATCTTAGACATCATTCAATTCAATCCTTATTTTCCCAAGGAGGAGCCTGCAGATTTCAGCAAGAGTGAGAAATAGAACCTAGGTTTTCTGACTTCCAGGTTAAAGAGATTGCTGCTCTGTTTCAGATTGGCTCTGATAGTGAAGTTAAGCATCAATAGTGTAGTCAAGAAAGAAATTACGTACTTTAAGGATAAAATAATCAGGCAGGCGAGAACTCAAGGCATCAGTGAGGAGAAAAGAAGTCAGATCAGAGAAAGTTGCATACATTTTCAGTTCCTAGGAATTAAATTGAAATAGCCAACAATGCAAGTAGCACATGCAAGCCATGCACATGGTAAATGAGAGATATGGAGTATATCCATGAGAACAGCAGCGATTTTCATTATCTAATTCTCTTCAGAGGGTTATCTGGGATTTAACTCAAATGCTACAGGTATTTTTAAATAGCCACACTCTAAAGGAAACAGGAAACAAACTGTATCCACCTGCAATTTAATTAAGTATCAGATAGTAAACATAGTGATAGTTAACATTACATATTCATAAGGTGTCTGGCACCGGAATAGCTAACATGTATAATAAAAGGAAAAAGGCAAAGAGCTCAAATTCCTCTCTTTTATCATTTTTCAAGAGAAATATCTCATGTGTTACCATCTTTGGAATATTTCCTAGTATGACCAAAAAGCAGGGAATAAACAATAATTCAGTGTGCCTAATGGCAAAGAATAAAAGAATTATTCACAAATAGAAAACTGGGCTTTTGAGCAGATGTTTATTTAAATACAAACAGCAACTCCTACTTTTCCTGTTATCTCCAATTATGTGATGCAACATTTTTACCAGAAGCAGCGCTTTTTAAAAGCAGCCTTCCGGGGAGTGAATAAACAATACTATATTTGGCTAACAGCTGCTTTTGGAAAATGAGATGTCAGCAAAGCTGAATGTTTAAAGAAAACTAATTATCCAGCTACCTTTGACTTGGATCAGAGTAAATAAAGCACTTCCCTATTAACGCTGAAATGTTTTGTCTAGGATTTAAATATTAAGTATTAGTCAGATATTTCACTTCCTCCATCGTTTGCCATGTGGAGCAAATGGATTTAAAGAATTATTCCTTGCATTCGATTTTGCTGCCAAAACCGCTTCAGGTCATCTGGTGCCGCCCAAAGCTGTTGCTGCTTAGCAATTTATCATCCACTACCTATTGTATTCAGTTTAAAGTAGTATGTCTATGGGCACTTTTAAACCCAGGTAACCTGGTGACATGCGGTGTGGTTGCGTTTGTGTGAGTTTAATTATGCAAAAGTCAAATAATATAAAGTTTCTAAGTAATGTCTCGTGTAGAATTTGAAATAATGCAAAGACTCCCAATTTTTGAAAATTCGTTTTAAGGTTGGCAAGCTGAGTGAGCTATCAGACTGGTTCAC